CGACTTGCGATCAGAGTCACGGAACGGATTAAGTTCGTAAGTAGAGGTACCACTGTATATACCAAAAAATCCCCTCACAAACTTAGAGAGGCTATCCTCACAAAAAGTAGCCCATGAAATAGACAGCACATATACACTGTTGAAGAAACCAAAACATATACACACCTACACAAGAAAAAAAAATCATAAACACAAATGCAAAGTATATATAAAAGGAAAAGAGGTTCCCGCAGGCAAATCAATCCTTTACAACTGCTCAGATGCTTAGGATATCATCTGGAGACTGGCAAAACGGGAAGCAAATGTACCATGAATTGGCTAAAGAATCCATGAATACTTTGGATCTGGTCTGTTCAAATGATCTTGAGTCAAATAAATTGTGGCTTAACATTCTGTTCACTGGAGCCTATATATGTATGAATGAAATAAAGAAAAAGGAAATTATGTTTTCTTCCTGCCCTTTCTTTGCTTTTACTTTCTTTTCCTTGCAACATTCTTCCAATGGAGAAATATGGTAGTGTTTCTTCAAGATTTCCCATCACAATGGAGTTTGCAAATGCAGTAATTACAACTTAAATTTTTATAATGTTTAATGGCTGAATTATTATTCTAACCTATAAACTGATTAAAGCCAGTGTATACCTTGTTTATGAAAGTGTTACATTGTTCAGCAAATTTTATCTTTGTGACATATCCTATAGTACATGTTAGGAGACTAGATTCCTATATTCATTAGTAGAAATATTGTTTCAAAACAGAAATATTTGGCATGTTCATGCTGTCTCTCTGAGCTAAGCCAAGGCAGTAACATTTTTTTTAAGGGACTGCACTGACTTGGTTGAAATGAGCCCAAACTGCATTACAAAACTTCTGTAATTTCATTTCTTGGAAGCAATCATTTGAGTCTTTCGGTCTGGCTAAATAATCCCTGAAAAGAAATACAAACAAAACTATTTCACATACACATTCATGTCATATACTTACTTGGTGTGAAAGCAAATCTGTGTTTACATAATTCACAATATTCTTTTCTGCTGTGTTTGAGCCACTGGACTAAGCTGCAATTAAAATATATGGCAATAATGGATTTACAACTTTAAAACCCCCCCCACAATATTCAAGAGTTCAGAAAGTATCAACAATAATATTTTAAAAAGAAAATAGTAATAAAATATTATATAAAGTACTGATTTTCTTCAAATACTTTTGTTAATAATGAGAGTTTTTGAATTGCATAAGCAAAGCCACAGGGCAGTGCTGATGAAACCAAAGTATTAAAAGTATTCATATATACACATATACACACACACACAAACATATACACAAATATACATATATACATTATTAAGACATTTTGGTAACTTGAGGTACAGTGGTGTTTAAAAGTTTGCGAACATGTTTGAATGTTCAATATTTCTGAATAAATATGACCTAAAAATGTGATTTATTCTCCACACAAGTCCTGAAACTAGATAAAGAGAACCCAATTAAACAAGTCCAAAACATTATACTTGTTCATTTATTTATTGAGGAAAATGATCCAATGCTACATATTTGTGTGTGGCAGAAGTATGTGAACTTCCAGGATTATCAGTTCATTTGAGCAGGAAATTAGAGGGAGGTGTTTCAATCAGTGGGACAATAATCAGGTGTGAGTATGGGAGGTCCTGCCTTATTTAAAGAACAGAATTCTGGGTATTCACTATCAAAGTCTGATCTTCACTAAACAGGTATGTGGAAGTGTGGCATGGCTCAAACAAAGGAGATTTCTGACCTCCAAAAAACAGTTGTTGATGCTCACCAAGCTAGAAAAGGTTACTAAATTATTTCCAATGAGTTTGGACTCCACCACTCCACTGTCAGGCAGACTGAGTACAAACAGAGGTAATTCAACATCACTGTTACCCTCCCTAAGCATGGTCGACCAATCAAGATCACACCAAGAGCACGGCATGTAATACTCTGGGAGGTCTCAAAGAACCCCAGGGTAACATCTAAGGAACTAAAGGCCTCTCTTGCCTTGGTGAATGTCAGTGTTCATGAGAGAACCTTGAACGACAATCATGTGTGTGGCAGGGTTGCAAGGAGAAAACCACTACTCTCCAGAAAGAACATTGCTACCTATCCACACTTTGCAAAAGACCACGTGAATAAGCCAAAAGGCTACTGAAAGAATGTTCTATGGACAAATGAGACCAAAATAGAACTTCTGGGCATGAATGAAAAGCATTATATTTGGGGAAAGGCAAACAATGTATTCCAGCATAAGAACCTTATCCCATCTGTGAAACATGGTGGTGACAGTATCATGGTTTGGGCCTGCTTTACTGCCTCTGGACCAGGATGGCTTGCAATTATTGATGGAACTATTAATTCTGAATTGTGCCAGCAAATTCTACAGGCAAATGTCACGGTATCTATCCGTGAACTGAAGCTCAAGAGAAAGTGGGTCAAGCACCAAGACAACCACCCAAAACACACAAGTTGTACAACCAGGTATGGTTAAAGCAGAAAAAAGCTTAATGTTTTGGAATGGCCAAGGCAAGGTCCTGATTTTAATCCTATGGAAATGTAGAAGGACCTGAAGTGGGCAGTTCATGCAAGGAAGTCCACCAACATCCCTGAGTTGAAGCTGTTCTGTAAGGAGAAATGGGATAAAATTCCTCCAGGACTGATCAACAGTTATTGAAAACATTTAGTTGCAGTTATTGCTGCCCAAGGGGGGGCACAACAATTACTGAAAGCAAAGGTTCACATACTTTTGCCACACACAAATAAGTAACTTTGGATCATTTTCCTCAATAAATCGATGAACAAGTCTAATGTTTTTGACTCATTTGTTTAATTGGGTTCTCTTTATCCAGTTTTACGACTTGCATGGAGATCAGTTCACGTTTTGGGTCACATATATTCAGAAATATTAAAAATTCAAAAGGATTCCCAAATTTTTAAGCACCACTGTACATGAAGTTAAATGAATAAAATAAACCAACTAGGGCATAAAATATACATATAAACTTTTAAAATGAATACACATGCAAAATCCAGGATCAAAATGCAGACTGTTATGGATTATTATTGTTGTTTTGAAAACTGAATCCCTCTGTAGTGACAACCTACTCCTTTACATCCCACTAAAAACCTACATCCATAGTTCTGAAGTTCTGTTTGGGAGATGTTATGTAAAATGTAATTGCTTAATGCTACACCAGAGAAATCACCAAGCGTACTCTTCGAACCTGGCCAAGGTAACTTATGGCAAATGTAACAAAATGAGAAACCAGAATGTAAAAAAATGCACATAATGAAAACTTATCAGAAAATTTATCATGCCCATTAAACACAAATATTTATATAGTCCAAAGATTTACAAAATTTTTGCATAATTTCAATAACAGGATTTAAATTGTATAAACAGTTTGAATTCTGGTGTCATATCCAGAATTTCATACTTAAGGATACTCACATGTGAAAATTTACTAAAATATCTAGCCCTTTAATAATTTATTTTTCTTTAGTTTCTAGGGGGAGGGTTTGATAGCTTTAGTGGGAATGAAGGAAGGTGGGACTTTGCAGGTATGAGAAAAGCCAATGCATCTGAAAGAAGGAACTCAAGAATCAACCTTGGAAGTATTCAAAGCATGAAACCATACAAAGAATGAAGTGACACACATATTCATAAAGACATCATTAAATTTTCTTAAGTGATTTCTTAAAACTCACTAAGTGACAGGATTATTTGTATCAAAATTAGTGGATACCTGGTGAACATAAATGTTAAACAAGTATATGCTACTTATACGATGTAGCGTACCATAGGTGCAAGAATGAAAGACTGAAGAATTCTATGGCATGCTGCAAGAGATGCTAAACACAACACCAAAAGGATGTATGGGTGATTAGTGATTTACAATCAATAACTGGTGATTGGAAAAGTTGGAGAAATGGAGGGCCCTAGAATTACTGGAAGATTTTTATTAGGTAGATGTAATAATGCAGGAGAAAGAATTTTGTGAAGAAAATACTTTGTTTAATGTCAACATGTGCTTGAAGCAATAACAACACAGGCTCTACAGCTGAACTTTCCTAGAGAGACAATACTGGAATCAAATCAACTACATAACAGGAAACGTAAAATGGAGAACTGCAATCCCACTTCCAGAGACAGATTATGGAAAATACCATAAATTATGGTGTCAAATATATAGGTTTAACTTAGAAAATTAAAATGAACCAGTGAGACTTTACCTGAAGAACATATAGTCAAAATATACATCAGAATAAGAACAAACTCGGTATACTTAACTATGTGAAAAAAAACCCGAGGACCAATGGGGAAAAAATAGAGATTATAAAAATTGAAGCCAAAAAAAAAAAAATTAGGAAAAGGAAAAGATCCAAGTGAGTTCCAATATAAGCTATTATGTTAGCCAAAGATGGGGATAAAAGCCTTGGACAACAAAAAGGATGTACTGCATGTAGACTTTCAACATCAACCAAGAAAGTACAAGGAAAGCTATCTCAGTCTAGAATGTCAACAATTAATGGGAAAATGACAAGGAAAAAAAGAGAGATTAGTAGTCAAGATAGGAATACTCAAGAATAATTATGGAAGAGAGAGAATAGAGGTAAAGTAGGTAAAGGAAGTTGGAAAGACTAAACTAAAAATATTTACAAATTATTTTATAGAGGATGGAAGCATTTTCAGGGGGAGAATATATTCAGTAAGCAACTCTAGAAGAAACTGAGGCATTACAGACTAGCTACAGGTAGTCCCCGGGTTAAGAACACCTGGGGTACAGAGAACCCATAGTTAAGAATGGAGCCTACTGTAGCAAAATTCAAGCTAAATACACAATGATTTGAGTTCATTACACAATACTACTTATACAGTATTATACAATAATACTGTTCCGGCTTACATACAAATTCGACTTAAGGACAGACCTTGGGAATGTAACTCATTCTTAAACTGGGGACTACCTGTATTGAAGAAAGAACCAGGTGCAAATGTAACATCCTCTGAAACTGCAAAGGTAGTTAAAATGCTAACAATCCAATGAAAACAAGTATGGAATGTGTGCCCTTGAGATTGGAAAAGATTGTACAGTTAAACCTCATTTAATTGACCATTTGGGGAAAAGGGATGTCTGTTACTCCCAAATTTCCATTACGTATGAAAGTATGTCATTGTTGCCTAATGATATTATTAAGCAAATGACAGAAATGGTATTGCCTGAATTTCACAACATTTGTAGGGATCATTTGTATATCATAATATTAAGGTAAAATTAATGTAAATTTGACTGCTTCATCCAGACTATTCTGGATACATGAACTTCTCCGTTATTTTAGTATGATATCCAGATGGAAACTTGATTCACTGCATCTATCTACTAAGTGGAGCTCCATTAAATCAAGATTAAAACTGAATATAGCTATGCTGAAAACAGGCAAATGCAAAAGATTTAGCTTAAGAACTTCTAAATAAAAACAAAATCATACATACATACAGAAAAGCATGGCAAGTTTCAGAAAAGGCAGAGAGCCATGAGATCAAATAGCCAATATAATAATGAAGACAGCAAGAGATTACAAGAAAGACCTTAGATGATGTAGTTCATGCCAGAATGTGGAATATATTTAAGATAATAGAACATCTGAAGAATCATTACAATGAACAAGAAAACACTGTAAGAACTGAATCTGAAATGATAGTTCAGAAAATGAGAAGTAGTTAGAGACAAGGAGACATATTGTCTCTTTATCTGTTTAACTTATAAAGGAAACAAAGAACTGCAGAATTGTTAAGTGATGACACCTAGAATCAAAATAGGAGGCTGAAGCACTATAAGTTGAGATACATAGACAACACAATTTTATTAGCTGAAGGTAAAGAAGATTTAGAAAAGCTCAATATAAAATTAAAAATGGAAAGTGAAAATCTGGGTTAATGTTAAATATTAAGACAATGTCAACCAACATGCTTAGTGAACTTACAGTTGAAGGTGAAGAAGTGATGATGGTACATAATTTGTTTTCTTGAGTTCAAGAAAAGATAAAGATGGACAGTAGGCTGGAGAAGTAAAGAGAAGATTAATCCTAGGGTGGAAGGCAATGACAAACTTAGACAAGATCTGACAATAGAGCAACATAGTTGAAGCAGTGATATTTCCAGTGGGAATCTATTGCTATGAAATCTGGATACAGAGAGAGAGTGAAAGAAAGACCCTTTCAAATTATAGATCTGGAGATGGTTACTAAGAGTACCATCAACTGCAAGAAACACCAATCAATCAGTCCTACACAAAATAAAGGCTAATAGCCTCCTTAAGGAAAATATCAGCAATGAGAAACTCACATATTTCAGGCACATAATGCAAGTGATGATGATTTAGAAAAAGCTATTGTTCTTGGGAAGGTTGAAGGAAGTAAAAGAAGGAGATAATAATGGATAAAGTGCATGGACATTATCAGAGTTTATGTAACTGTCTTTGGAGGATTTACAATTATTAGTAGAGATAAGTTAAGGCAGCAAATATTTGTATAAGGTCAACAGGAATCAAGTTAGTGCCACTTGATTAATTCACTCAGTACTTGTATCTAGTATACAAGGATCATTTTGAAGATAACACACTGTATTGTTTCTGTGCACAAATGGTAGAATGCTATAGATAGATATTACTTCAAAGGAAAAAGAAACTTACCATTCTTGATGAATGAATTTAATACTGCCAGTACATACACATGGATGATAGAGAGGCTTTTCAGGAGTTCCTTCAGATCGACATACTCTACATATGTCTGTTGACAACAAAGACAGTTGATACTGAATAAAGTAAATACCATTTTTTTAAAGGTATTTAAAGAGTGAAAATAGAGAAAAGGAAAAAAGAAACAGCATGAAGGAAAAAGAGAGAAAGAAAATATTAAGAATTTACAAAATTAAAAAAATTTCATAAGAATTTACAAGAAGTTAAATGAAAAAGGTAAAACATTCCGTTATTATTCTTACAAGTATATTGAAACAGATATAAAGATAATCATGTATCAATTTGGCATTTTAAGAACTAATATTAGAATCAAATCTGAGATTGACAAAAAAAACCCAAAATAAGAATAATCAGTCAAAATAATTAATTTCTAACTGGAACAGTTCATCCTTAACTTTATCACCAATCAGACAGAATCTGTATTTTAAAAATTTATATTAAAAGAAGCATAAACTTTTCAATTATTTTTTTTTAAAGATTCAGGTTTGTAATCACTTGCTAAACAATCAATGAAAGAACTCAAGCAAGATTAATAATATTGTTGGGGAAATCAGAAGAGCATGTGCTATTTACACAGCCTTGAACTCCTGGAAGACAGGTTGGATATATGTCCAACAAATTAAAAAATAATAAAAAGTCATTAGATTTTATCCTTGGAATTATTTTTATTTTAAAGTCCCCCAAAAAGATAATTGAAGGTCTTATTTAAAAGATATAGTTGAGAAGGTAATCTTGTAGATGAGAAAATGATGGTTCTTCAGATGCTGAGTTTTAACTTCCAGCAGCCCATTTACTCAGTCTGAAGTTTCATGATAAAAGGAAGGCAATATATGATCTACTTTGCAAATAAAATCAAGGTCAAACTATAGCTTCCTTTGTTCATAAAAAGAGAGATGAAAAAACTGCAATTCAATGAAATGCTTCAATCACAATGTAGCTTTCAAAAAACATTCCAAAATGTCTTATATGTCATGATTATTTTAAATATTTCACAGATTTTAACTTAACTGTGGTTTACCTGTTACTGTACCCCTGAACCATCTTTGAATAGAAAGGCAGATATAAATCATATTGTTGTTATTATCGCTGTTTTTATTTACCAATGTTAATGTCCAGCTTGAGTTCTACAGAAGGAAGAGCTCCATTTGGGGCTTTAGCTAGTTATCAATTACCAGTAGATTCCGATTTTATTTTAGAAACAGTTTTAAATATCCAGTAGATTTCAAAGATTAATTAGTTTATAATTAAAATTCTAAGCCCAGGAATCTCTTAGACTGAACTGATAGATAACAGTGCAATTTGAACAAGTTTTACTTCCTCAATGGATTACATTAATCTGCAGCTAGAATAAAATTGTTGTCTGTTTTATACACAGTATTCTGTCTGATAATAAATACTTAATTTTTCATTGTGTCATATCAAATTCAGATGCAACAAATGTTAGCAATACCACCGAAAAAAATAAGGGATAATTTAATAAGTGCAGACTTCTATACAAAAATGTAATCATTTTAAAACAAACCCAAAGGCTACTACAAATACAAAGAAACCTCTTTACCATCAAGAAAGATACCCATAAAAACAAGTAGTCCATTTTTTAAGAAATAAAAAAAATACATAGATGCATTCATATAAAAAGAAAATGTGGTTACAAAGTGTGCTATAAACTGAATGTTGTTACAGTGCGCAGACAGTACTGTTTTCTTACCCAGCATTTCATTATGATAACATATGTGAATTCTACAACCAACAGTATGCCAAACAAAGCTTCTCACTGTGCTTTGCAAAAAGAAAATTAAGAGATAGAAAAGCATTATTTCTATCATAAGATTAAAGGAAAATCTAATTCCATGACAAGAGAGGTTGAAAGATGTTTACAAAGTTAAACCTATAGAACTATGGCTTTAGCAGACATCTGAAAATCACTTTACCTATTTATCCCACTAATTGAAAACTGAAAGGATAAAAACTATAAAAAGAAAAAAAAAGATGTTTGCATCTTCATATCTTAAATATTCCTAAAATTAAATATAAAAATTATTCATAATTATCATATTCTTTGCCCAAAACTTTGTTATCTATGGCAAAGAATATATCCCTCCCCACCCCCCATTCCTTTTACAGAAGTGAATGGGAGGTTTACTTTTTTCATGAATGACAGCAGAATAGGGCATTTGAGAACAATACCGCAATCTTCTCTAAGGTGGAATGCACAGGCAGCTCTTTCCCAAACTCACCTGCACCAAATACCTTACTCACTGCAGGCTGAGCCATGAAAAATATTATTTTAAGTCCTTCAAGTTACTGTGTAGGTATGGCATGTATGTTACAGCTAGACTTAACGCAGAGTTCATGTGTCCGTGTGTGTGTATGTGTGTGTGTATGTATATATATGGACAAAATAAAATTGGGGAAAGATAAAAAAAAATAAGTAATAGGTTTCTTGCCACTTTCAGCAAAATATCAGTAATGCTAACAGCAAAATACTTGCTAGAATTAAGTGGAAGTTTAGCTCTCCAGAGCTTTTCCATAAAAGTCTATCATATAGGTTGGAAGCCTATATAAGCGTGTTCCTTATACATTTTTAGAATACATAGAAAAACAACCTGAACTATTTTCATTAGAATAAACCAATTTAAATCAATAAAGTTTAAATTACTGGTGAGATGTTAATTCTAAATCACGGATTTAAATAAATTTTATATTTCATGTATTTATAAAATCGTGACACGCAGTATTTCATATAACTTCTAAAGCATAATTTTAAGCGCCCTGTAAATAGGTCTGTTTTTAATAGTTTTCTAAAAGCTACTAAGGTTGAATTATGAACTGCCTGAATTATGCACATTTAAGTTTCAAAAATTATATTAAATACCTGCTATCATGATTTTATAAATGCATGAAATATACATAAACCAAGACCACATGTTCTGTATATTGTTTTTATAGATTAAGATAAATAAAAAATTTAGGACTGAAAATTGCCATGTCATACTGCTTCATAGTAAAGTTTATAAAAAAATACATGAAACTAAACAGTGAAAATATTAGTCTCTCTTTTCTCTATTGTTGCTATTTTCTGCTTTTTGCACAGCTCCTTGGCTGTGCCAAACCTGACTCAGAAATATATAGTAGTTAACAATGAAAAATGTTTGCTTACTCTAGTCTTGTCTCTTTGCTTGGGACCCAACACATCCATAAATTCTGGCAAATCATTACTAAGCAATGTAACTTGGAGTACAAGGGGATATTACAGCACAAGAGCAGGACCGCCTTCACACAAAACTCTGGAAGATCTATTCGACTCAAATTTTGTCCAATCTATACTAGCCCCTCTCAAGTTTATCTATGCAGGAAGAGGAGAGATGCAAGGAACTGTTATGCCTCCTTCTACGTAAAAGAAGGCAATTAATTCAGAGCAAAACAGAAAGGCATTATTCCCGGCCTCAACCTATATAGGAAGAAAGTATTCACTGGGAAACTGCAAAACTTGGATAAGAGAAATTATTCAAACAGAAACACACACACAAAAAGTTTTAAAAATCATCTTCTAAAAGCACTTGTGATGGCTGGCTGGTAATAAACCATAATTCCAATATAACGTATGTAACAAAATGTGTATTATAATACACAAAAAATAGTAATTCTTCTCACAGCACATGAAGTATAGAATTCCCACCACAAACTGAAGTGACAGCCAGCAACTCATCCTTAAAAAGAATTAGATAAATTCAGAGAGAACGCTATCAATAGTTACTAGACATGATAGCTTAAATATCAGTATGCTACCTCTGAAGAGTAACAGTGAAACAAGAACTTTACCCTGTGGGTATTTTGCACACATGTTGGGTCAGTATGTCAAAATAACTAGGCCTCTTATTTGATTCAGAAGAGTTATTTTTCTTAAAGCCTAACCTAAAGAACAGCAAACAATATACTTTATGGGGAGTCCTTGGTGCTCTCTGAGCTTGGTTGTTTTCTTGCAGACATTTCATTACCAGACTAGATAACATCATCAGTAAGAGTGAGTGTGGGGTTTGCTCCCTGTTTATGTACAGTGGCTTGCCCTGCCAGTATTGGTGGGGGTGTAGTTTTCTCCTTGGTAGTTCCTTGATTAGGGTATTGTTTTCTGCCTGTTTGTCTGGTGTTAATCTCTGCTTATCTTAGTGTTGGCTGGTGGAGAGGATGTGTTCTGGTCTTTTTGTTTCCTTCTTAGCCTTTTTATTGTCTCTTTTGAATGGTGGGTAATTGTGGTTTATTTTTATGTGTCTATTGATGGCTGATATGACTGAATGCCAAGCTTCCAGGAATTCCCTAGCATTTTTGGATTTGGCTTGGTCTAGGAAGCTCACAGTTTCCCAGTTGAAACTGTGGTTGATTCTGTCAATGCGTTGTGAGATTAAGTTTTCATCATGTCTTCTGACTGCTAGTTGGTGTTCATGGATGCGCTCTGCTAGTCATTTGCCTGGCTGTCCTACGTAGTGGCTGTTACAGTTCGTATATTGTATGTTGTAGATGACTCCTATTTTTTCTTCTTGAGCTACTGGGTCTTTTGGTTTGCTTAAGATGTTCTGGAGGGCCCTAACTGGTTTGTGCCTATAGTGATGCTGTGCAGTTGTAGCAGCCTGTTGGTTATTTCTGAGATATTTTTGATCTATGGTATCAAAACCTATGGTATCCTTTTCATACTTTGTGCTCATTGTGCTGTAGTGGGTTGAGTGGTCAAGCACTTTTTGATAAAGTTGCGTGGATATCCATTTTGTTGGAAGATGTTGTATAGGCAGTCTGTTTCCTTTTTCTGGTGTTCCAAATTGCTGCAGTGCATTTGTGCTTGTCTGAATAATGTTCTTACACACCTCCTCTTGTGAGAGGCTGGGTTGTTACTTTGGTAATGGAGTACTTGGTTTGTGTGGGTTGTTTTTTGTTAGACCTGGATTTCTAATTTGCCATTGTTTCCTTTGCTGATGAGGATATTCAGGAAGGATAATGTGTTGTTTTCTTCACTTGTGAATTTTATGCTATGAGTCCTGAGAGTGGTGATCCCATGGGTGTTCCT